AAATGGTTTCTTGTTTCAAGCATTACTTTCTTATTCATTTCTTATTCAGAATCGAGTGAACCTAAGGAAACTATATTTAAAATATCACCCAAATAACTTCCCCAACTGTAACTTACTGAAGAGCTGTGATCAAGAAGCTAACAGTTTACTATTTCATCATGAACTGTGATGCTTTGTTTCATTAGGCATATATTATGCTTACTTTTTCCTTATACAAAATATTTATTGTACAGTTCCAAATCCAGGCTAGGGTGGGGTAAAAGGAGGAGAAAAGCGATTTCTTTTTAAGGACTCATATGGCTCAACACAAATGTACATACCTTGACATTTGTGACCCTTAAATAATATATCATAGGCAATTAAAAACAAAGTACACCTGTCTTAACCAAGTACCAATTTTTGTTTCCCAACGTTAAGTCCCTAAATGCATCCAGCAGATGGTGCTCTAGGACACCTACTTACAGAGAGTAATATTTATATTACATCCGCCTATATTTTGGCAAGACAAAGAATAAGAATTTATCAGTAGCTTCAGTAAAACATACTAGGCTTCACAATAAAAAGGACATAATTCCTAAATATGTGTACAAAAATATGCATATACATAAGCACATGTGCACAGAGGCAGCCAGTAAATAATTCACACCTGGACATATTATGATACTACTTTTCTTACAGACTTGATGAGTAGTCTATGTGTATCAGTAGTATTTATAGTCACATGGCAAGATCATTCTAAATTCATTAAAAAAAATTTAGAATGCCTTAAAGTTAGAATTCATTTTTAATTATAGCAGGAATGTCTCATTAGGGTGATACTAGTAAAATTAACAACAGTAGGATTTACGGTAATGACTTAAGTGATTGATGAGAGTATAACAAAATGAAGTTTTAGACAGAGAAAAAGCAGGGCAGCTATGGCATACAGTACTTTAAAAAACAGCTCTGTGGTCTGTTAGTGCTAGCCTTATGGTTAATAAAACCTTCTTTCTAATTAACGGTGCTGAAATATTCTTAAAGAACAGAATCTTGTTGTTATGAAGAAAAGTTCGTTTTTTTTTTTTTTTTTTTTTTTTTTTTTTTTTTTTTTTTTTTTTTTCAGTAGACGCCATTCCCATAAAGGAGAAAGCTGACATAGATTAGCATGTCTCATTGCAATGAAGAAAAGAAAAAAATGCCACCTTTCAATCAAATCAAAACCAGAATTTGAGAATGGAAACTCCAAGTATTACTGAAATACCACATACTCAAATCTATGCAACACTCTCACAGTCAGCAACCATTTACTTCTGAAGCTGATCGAATGTAGCTTTAAAATATATTATTCAGATACCTAAAAATACCTAGTAAGCATTTAATTTTTAAAATCCAAGCTTATGATCTAGTATAAAAACAGTGAATAAATAATAACTGTTTTGTATATATTCATCTTGCTTATCTAAATAAGATCATGTCTAAATGTAAAGTATTTATTTATCAATGGAATGTACTGGGTAACATTTTCTCCAAAATTTGAAAATGTGCGGTCTGGAGAGCATTATTCTGAAGGCAAAGTAAATATCTTAGGAAGAGCACTTTGGTGATAAGACTCAGTCCCAAAACACAGAGTACTGGGACAAGGAGAGAGAGATGCCATGCTTTCATGTACAAAACATCTTTCAGTGAAATAACCTTGGTTAATTTCATTTTTAAAATCCATAGCTAAATAGAATCCTATATTAATTTTTCTTCTCATTGAGAAAACTGCATTCCACAGGAGACAACTATTACAAAACAAGAGTCAAAGATGAAAAACTATCTGGTATACAGGAAAATAAGCCTTTTGCTATGTAGTATAGCCAGGTATCATAAAACATTTACATTTTTTAAAGCCCCAAATTATAGTATTTACAGGTTTTATCCAGTTTGAATTAGCCTGATTTTGCCAAAGCAATGTGCACATTAATATTATATAATATGATATTTTAAAAACATTGTCATACAGCTATCAACTTTACATATAGCATCACTACTAGATTTGGAAAAAACAGCATATGTAGGCTTATAACCCTAGAAAGTAAAATGACTACCTATTCTCATGATTTTTTAAAATAAAAAAATGCCTGAAATAGACCTATAAAATGGAGAAGAAGCAATAACGTGGTTTTATTTATCTATTTTCCCTTCAAGAAAGAAAGAGTCTTGAGTCTACAATAAAAAATTTAAAGTTGAGGTATTATGTGCATTTATAGAACATATTGCAATTATATGTGTATACACGCTTCACCACTTCTTAAAGGTCATTTACATTGTGTCTAAGAAGTACAATATAGGAATAAGCATAACTTAAAAACCCTTCATCTGAAAAGCTCTGACTTCAGCAGCTGCATCGTGGAACTATCAATGAGCCAGAGGCTTATAAAATCCAAACCAGCTTGCATGATTGTTTGAAACAGTTTCCACACGGTAAAAATGTCTTTGTTTTTGTTTGTCATTTTCTTTTGAAAACCTTAGACTGCATTTTCCATTTTTCTATTCTAATGTGTGTAAATTCTCATTATAAGAAAAAGTACCTATTTGTCTTTCTCCCAGATACATCTTTCAAAGCTAAAGCAAAATTAAATCGGGGCATCGGACATTATACAGGGGCTTGAAAGGATAAGGTTCACTTTGAGAAAGGTAATTTAATCCAGTCAAGATACATGACAATTTTCTAAAATTTTTATTATATGTGCTGTTATATTATTCTCTTTTTTCTTTTCATTGCTAGCATTACCAGGAGGTAATGTCCACCATTACTGCAGACAATGAGTGGGTATAGATGAAGTACGTTATGAAATATGTAACATTACAATATTTACTCTAATGCCAACAAGATGCTGCTTTGTGGTGATTTATTTGCTCTAATCATGCTGTGCTTCTGATAACACCTTAACTCAATTCTGTTGTTGCTTTCATTTCACAGACAAGACAGAAGGACCACAGCAAAGCTTGGAACTTAGAATTTTTTTTTTTACTACAAACCCCAGGATTTGTTCAGTCCTACTTAATTCAATTTTTAAAGGCCATCTCTAGGTTGAATTACAAAGAATTTAAACATATGAAAATATATTTAAATGTATACATAAATCATGATATATATCATACTTTCTTCCTTCTTGAAAAGCTGAAAATTCCTAACTTTAAGGTATACTTAAATTTCTGAAGTGCAACAGCAATTACATACAAGTGTAGCTAATAAGCCTTTAGCTGCTTCTTAGAATACAAATTGGTAATGATGGTGTATAACATATAGAACATGATTAAGTAAAATTAAAAAAAAAACAACACAAATATCTATTGTGTGTATGTTTAGATTTCTATATGTGCATGAAATCTCTTACATTTTTAATGCAAGAAAAAGTTCTTCCTAAATATTTTGAGATAAATAGCAAAATCATAGATTTATCATCTATATTAAATCTAGGTTTGCCTGAGATAATTTAGTGAATCTCAGAAACTAGATTTATAGAAACAGGAAAAAAGAAATTGAAAGTAGTCACTTAATTCTAAGAGGCCAGAAAGGAAGAAGGACCAGAATGTTGTGTTCATGATGAAAAAACACAGTACTTTTCAAAAGAATATGAAAAATAAAATCCCTGAAATTTACATCTTTTGAATTTTTATTGTAATTATATAGAGGTATCTGTGTAAGTATGTGAAATGCATATACACCCTCTCCTTGACATATATACACACACACTACAATTTGATCACAAAGTCTGTATTATCCATAGCATCACAGCCTTAAAATTATTTTTCATATTCTATTTGCATAGGAAATTATCCCTTTTTTAATTAAAATAGGAAATATCTATTACAGAAAAACTGTATTTACCCACCACATCAAAGTCTATAATGTGCATAATAAGAAATGGCTTTGAAAAATATTTTGCATATATGTCTTTTAACATTATGCTAGCATTTGACTAAATTTTTTGAAAAAAAAAGTTCATTTTCATACAAATATTATACGTGTTTAAGCATAGCTTTGAGAAGTTAGTCTAAAATGTGATGGACTTAACATATTTATGCCATTTCACAATCTGGGGTGGAGTGACAGAGCAAGGACCAAGTATTCAGGTAAAGTCATCAGGAAGAACATGATCCTTCCTTAACCAAATACACTGCAACTTGCTTTAAATCAAGAAACTGTAAATATTTAAGAGCAGTTAAAATGCTCTACCTTCTGAAGTAAAAATCTAACGCTATTCTTGCAGGAATTCTACAGTGTTGTCATAATCATTTTAATTAAATTCTCATTTTTCAGGTGGTCCCTTTAATTGTTTTTTCCTACTTCTTAATGTGTTTTTCTAAAGCCATTTCTTTTCTGCAGCTGTGTGCGATTGGTTTTAATGGTAGCTGCTTCCTTTTTTGCCTTCTGTGAATTACAATTTTAAATGGTTACACATTTTTTGTTTTACTGCCTTCAGCACAGTTTCATAAAGATGTTTAGGCTGTTGGTGAACGTTTTCATTTCCCATCTGAAAAATCAACAACCAATTTGAATATTGCATATTGGCCTTTTATGACCTGTTTTATCTTTTTAATACATAAATGAAAGCATAATTTTATAAAGACTAGTTTGTTTGTGTGAAATTATAATTTTTATTTTGTTCTTTTAAAATATGAATTCAATAAACAAGGTAATATGTGATTGCTCTTTTATGCTGTATCTTACTGTTCATGAATAAAAAGTATTTTATTTGGTGACAGCTATTTCCAACGAAGAACCGGAATTTTTGGATCATAAGGACAGCCTATAATATGAAATGTTAAGATTTCTTGCTGGGGTTTTAATTGTCAGTGGTCACAAAATGTTAATAATGAGGCTATCTGGACCTTTCTTAAATTATAAGTAAGAAATTTAAAATACTTGATAATTCTGTTTCACTCCTACCATAACAAAAAGGTAATTTTACTGCAAAATGTTATTCTCTACATTCTTGTAAAAGTTTACTTACAAAATGAGTCGTACTTACTGCCTGGGTTATCTCCAATCCCACTGCATTTTCCATTCCAGTACCATAGCAAAAGAGTTGCATCACGTGACCCTGAGAGAATGTAGCAATTTCCCCCAATATATGACTCAGAACGAGCGAGGCAAGTGACGACATCCCAATGGCCAAACACCACTTGGATTAATTTTCCTGTAATGCAAAACAATTTTCTGTAAAATTGCTATTAAAAAAATAAAAATTCTATGAACAGATAACTTGTTAAAACAATGAAGCCATAGGAACTCAGACTGTCATAATTCAGATTTTACAATAATTTGACATGGTCCAACCTAAGAGGTTTTTTTTGAATACTAACAAGAACAACCAAAAAAAAATCAATTGAAAAGTGTTAACACTTTTGAAAGGTATGTGTTAAAACTATTTCAACAAATAATACTTGAGGACCATAGCACTGTATCATTACAAATGGCTTCTATAAATTACAAATGAATCATGTTTACTGATTAAAGCAGGCCCAGGAAACCCCTTTTGGAACCATTTTAACACTTTCTTGAGTTACTCTATATGATTCAAAATAAAACAAAACTTAGTTGCCATTCTGTAAAAGTACTTTATAATTTAGACGTCACTACTAAAAACCTGTCTCTGAATTAGTGAAGATTTAACATATTTGTTTTTTTAAGTGGTCTATACAAAGACAATATAAGTCATTTTGGAGAGCTTCTAACTTTTCAAATCAGGATTATATGGAAATTATGATTAAAGAACTAAGACACTGTGATTGCAATTTGTCTTAATAGTCTGATGAAAATTCCTTGAGAGTGAAATCAAGATGGTAAAGACTGGGGACATAGAGAGGAGCCCAGAAAATATACTTACTATATGTCTAGGGCTTCAAACACATAAGACTTCTTCATGTAAAGATGTCAGAAAAAAAGTAAAACCCTTTAAGAATCTTTGTTTAGCCGGATATGGTGGTAATAATTCACACAAAATTATCTAAAGAATTAAATATCTGTGGCAGATCCCCATTCCATCTTTAGAGTTACTAGCTAAAATATTTCCTTTGAAATGTCTACAGAGTATACAAATGAGTCTCACAGAATGTCTACCCTTAATATTCAGCATGGTTTTCTATTTTTTAATAAGTGTTTATATTTCGATTATAAAATATAATTCCTGTATTCAAGAAAAAGAAAGGCTACTAAGCAGAAAATTAAATTAATATGCCTAAACAGTTTATGTGTTTAACCAGGAATACACTGTAAACTTTTTAAAAGGTTAAGGTCTCAAGTACTGACATACAAAGTGTATTTACCTTTTCAAGATAATAAATATAATATTTACTTTAAATTTTTTAAATTCTTGATTTTAATAAACCTAAGGCTTATGAAGGCTGAAAATTTAGAAATAAAATTCTGAAATATTATCTAAATCAGATGGAAAAGTCAAATACATGTTTTCATTAATGAGTGGCAACCTTCCATATAGCCTACTTCTAATAAATTTAAAATCAGATTCATTTCAATCTAAAATTGCAAAATTAATACAGTACTTTTTTCCTCCTGTGATTAAGGGAGAGTAGACTTTAAAGCAGGTGTCTCTAATTGCTAAATGTTCAAAATGTTCACTTTTGAATTACTTCAGCCTTTTAAGTTGACACCAAAACATTTCATTAAAAATTAGCTTATATCGATAAAGAATAAAGGAAGAAGAATCTAAGGCTTTCAAGAATTAAAAAAAATTGAGCAAATTAAATATGAAATATATAATAATTTTTACTTCATTTCCAATTTACATGATAAACAGAATGTGGAGGTTCAGCAGTAAATTGGCGATATCAGAGTACAGGCAGACCTTACACAGGATAAGACAAAAGTTAGGTAGCTGAAAGCACTCATTAATAAATAGAAAATCAAAGGTTAAATCCGTGTATTTTAACCACTGAAAGAAACTGAATCCATCATATAGTGATGTGATCACGGAGTATATATGGTGACTTCTGCTTTAGCCTATGCCTAAATGCTCAGAGCACATAAAATATAGGCATGATTTAAATAGATTACATACAGGCAAGCTTATTTCAGATTTGAAATCCAACACTCAGTGGGTTGTAGGAGCAAGGATGAGTGAAATAACCAACCAGGTACTTTAGGTAGACAACGCAGAGGAAACCCAGGTGTTCCTTGTGCAGCAGGAGGCTTGCACAGAACAGCTATTCAGTTGGTAACTTAATTTCCAACTTATGTGAGGACAAAGGGAAAAAAATTAGCTGTAAGAGTGGTATGGATTAAATATAGGGGCAGAGTTTTACAAGATGCACATGTTAATTCTTATGACTTGAAGTCACTGCTCTGTTTCTCCGGTGTCGGTGTAAGGAAACGTGTATTCAGTTGTGGTGGTTCCTTTTTCAACTAAAATCTTCTACTGTTTTGGTTATTTCCCAAAAGGTTATCAAAATTCATTTTCATTCAACAAATACTTAGCACCTATTAAGTGCCAAGCATTAGGCCTTCTTACCTGTATACAGCGGTGAACAAATAGACATGGTTCCTGCCTCATAGCCTTTACAGCGTTGTGAAGCAGACAGTCATTAAACCCAAACAGTTATATAATTATGAATACGGATAAGTATTAGAAAAGAACAAGGTTGGATTGATGACAATAACGAGATAGAACAAATTTACACTGGGTGTCAGGGAAGATCTAAATGAGAGAGTGACATTTAAGCAGTTACATCTAAAGGGTTTATATGTTAACACAAATTAACTTTATTCTTTACAATTTATACTTTGGGCTCAACTCTGGAAAACATTATTTTTCAGTTTACTTTTTCCTGTTCTGGCAGCCTTCCTCAGCAATATTTGTTATTGCTATAAGGTTGAGGTTCACTCCTCCTAAATAAATCACAGCATATAAATACCTGCTGCTCTTTTTGGTAAATTATTTTCTGATAATCTCATAAGTGTTCCTCAACCTTTATTTTTTGTTTCCTTTAATACCAGTCCACCTCTCCACACACTAATATCAAATATTACCACAAGCACTAGAATATCCCTTTTTTGACAGAACAAATTTTCTAGTTAATGTTTTATTTGACAGCTGTGCTACAAATAAAAAAATTCAAGCTCAGGACTCTGCACTGGATCTAAAATGTGGCCTGAAAATAATTCCGATTGCCAGGGGAAGGTTTTATTGTTGCCTCTGCTGTTCTGGTTGTGGCCCGAAAACATGATTTATGTTTAAAGAATTTCCTGTTACAACCCATGTTTCTCCTCCCTCCCCCGCAATCTAATAAGAGAAGGATTTTTTTTTTGGCTTGTGTGCTAAAATATAATTGAATTCAACACTTGTGTTAGCTTTGCCATTATATATTACTGATCATACAATTTTCCCTTGATTCTCTGCTAAACTTAGGAAAAAATATTTAATATTCCTATTGTCATAAAAATGCAAACACATATTTAACCTAACTGAAATTATTTTAAATAAAACTTGCATCAGATTTTTTAAACACGATATTAAGAAAGATATCAGGACTATCATTTGAGATTTTTTCTACAACTTTTCTGGTAAGTATAAATATTTTTATTTCGCAAGCTAAGTTGGTCTCTGAAATGAAGGGATTGAAATGAAGTTTAAACTGAAATGAAGTTTAAAGCTAATTCCTTATTTGTACATTTTACACACAAACACATATTTTTTTTTTTTTTTTTTT